AGGGGGGGGGGGGGGGGGGGGGGGGGGTTGGTCGGAGAGATTTAAAATGTTGTCGTCCGGGAATTTTTTGGCCCCACCTGGGTTTTTGCTGGCCCCCCTGACCAAAAATCCTGGCTACGCCTCTGGTTGGTATGACCACTGTTTGCGAATCAGAAAATGGGAATCTTTTTAATTGTTAAATAATATTTTAGATTAACCATTAAATTTGAAATTATTTTCACAGCTACGGTGGTTATTGTTGTTGTTGTTGTTGTCATCGCGATCGTGCTACTTCTTATCGTTGCCATGGTAGTTTTCTTTTTTCTCAGGAAACGAAGACATCGGTATGAGGTATGTTGAAAATTCTAATATTCACATGGCCTTGGTAAACAATGAAGGGTTGAATGAGAAAATGAAAACTTGATTTATACAGACGACTTTGCTTAAGCTTATATAGTCAAACAAAATCATTGTATACTAGTGATTATGTACGGTGAATGGAGGATTTGCCACTAATCTGAAAATAAAAAAAAGATTGAGAAGTTAATGTGTTACACATGGACCCAGGAGATTGCCTTCGGTGAAAAACCGTTTGGGTTCGGTTTTGACAGATTAATCTTTCCTGGGGTTGAATTTTCAGATAAATCGTTTATTTTGCTTAATTAACGGTAAGGGTTTGGGTGCAGGCGGTCGTGGTTCACATATATGGCAATTTATTAAAGAGAGTGAGATACTGAAAAATACGCAGTGACATATTTACCATATCTTCACTAGTGAGGATATCGATCACGTGACTTTTAGTATTTATACATTTTTTTGCTTCAGACTATATAATAAACAGAACATTACACGTTGGCTTGAAGATATGACTTATATCTTCTCGTGTTAAAAACAATATTTTACTCATTCGCTGCGCTCGTTCGTAAAATATTGTTTTCACCACACTCGAAGATGAAAAGTCATATCTTCACGCCGCCGTCAGAGGAGTTTGGACACCTAATTTGGCGAATCTGGGCGAATCTCTCGTCCAATCAGATTGCGCCATTTTCCTCATGATCGCATGAAGCTTTTGGCATCGAAAATTTACATAGGGCTCATAAAACGCTGAAGTTGTTCCTATCCACAAGAGTGGTGATCATGAGATCGCAAATAATAATAGACCTATATCGTTATTGCCAGTGCTATCAAAGATCTGCGAACGAGCAGCTTATAATCAGTTTTCGACCTACCTTCTCTTGAATGATCGTTTATCGTCTAAACAAAGTGGAAACAAGCATCTACACTCAACAGAAACCTCGGTAATTCAGACTACAGACATGATCCTGAATGCCATTGACAAGAAACAGCTAACTGCGATTGTATTACTCGACATGAGCAAAGCATTCGATAGCATAGATACCACGACTCTGATTACTAAGTTAGAAGATGTTGGCGCGTCTTGTCAGGCGATTCAATGGTTCCAAAGCTACCTAACATCCAGGTATCAAGTAGTAAGAATACAAACAACCTTATCCGAGCCTTTAGAGGTAAAGAGTGGAGTACCTCAGGGAAGTATACTTGGGCCACTTCTGTTTAGTATTTATGTGAACGATTTGCCATCAGTTCCACAACAATGCTCTCCCTATTCCTATGTCGATGACACAAAACTCCTAATGTCGTTTTCTCTGCAACACCAACAAAGAGCTGTCTCAGAAATAAATCAAGATCTCTTGAGAACACGTAATTGGTGTTTTGATAACAAGTTACTGTTAAACCCAGAAAAAACTAAGGCCATGATATGCGGTAGCAGACAGATGAGAGCAAAACTTCCTAATTTTCGCCTCTCACTTCTCGGTAAAGAAATCATTCCTGTAACAAGCGCCAAAGATCTCGGCGTAATCTTGGACTCTGGTATGACGTTCGACAGCCATGTACAAGCCACTATCTCCTCATGTATGTCTCGTTTAGGTCAAATAAACCGCGTGAAACATTGCTTTGACAAACACACATTAACAATTATTATTAACTCTCTAGTTTTTTCAAAATTATATTATTGCTCTACAGTCTGGAGCAACACTTCTCAAACAAATTTAAATAAGGTAGAGGTAGTGCAGAACTTTGCATGTCGAATAGTTAGCGGAGTTGGCAAATACGATCATGTCACACCAATCCTGCAAGAACTAAAGTGGCTTCCTGTTCGACAGTATTTATATTTTCGTGATGCAGTCATGGCATTTAAATGCATGACAGGAAACGCACCTGCATACCTAACTGAACAGTTTGTGAGACGAGGTGACATTTCATCTCGCGTTACTAGGAACTCGAGCATGATTGAAACTCCTTTACACAGAACAGCAACCGGGCAACGATCTTTCAAATTCAGAATGGCCACAATTTGGAATTCCTTAAAACCAGAACTTAGGGCCTGCGAAACAACGAAAGACTTCAAACATATTTTAAAACAGAGACTTGTAGAAACATTTAAATTTAGGACCAATCTTAAGAAATTTTGATGTAAATAGCATATATATTTGTGTAGTACTACCAAGTGTGTGTGTGTGTGTGTGTGTGTGTGTTGTGACTGTGTGTTGTTATGTGTGTCTCTCTATCATTACAGTGTATAAAAATTTAGATCAATTATGTAAAATTTCGCTGAAAAGCCTTTTAAGGGATGTGAAATTAAAATACAATAACAATAAATATCGACTTTTTTCATATTGTTATGCACTTTTTTTTTGAAATTTCACGCGATACTACTTTTACAACAGTGAATCTACCCATTGGAACGGTATCTTGAAAGGTAAGCGTTATTTTCCAGTTTATTTTGACCTCCCCCTTTAGGCGTTATGCTGTCGCGATGTAATTTAATGGAGTTTCTGTCAACAATCTTTGAAGACAAAAATCTCAAATTTACACGGTTGGATTTCGCTATTTTTTTCACGATTAGTTAAACAAAAGTATAATCTTTAATTCTATCCAGCCGGCCCCCCTCGGTCCCGCAACCGTTTTCGAGATATTCACAGTTGAATATAGCCCTCTGTAAAATATGTTGCCTTGTCACTCAGATCGATAATGAACTGCTATTACTCGTTTTTTTCTAAAGAAGTGTGATATATTATAGAAGTTTCGATATATTATCGATTGTATGTATTGCAGTTAAAGTGTTCAAATAATTAAAGCCCTTCCGTAACAATATTTTACAAGTGAAATTTATTGTTTGGCTTATGTTATAGATTTGAGATTCGTGATTTTGGCTGGATTCTATTTTTGTCAATGATTTTGTCTGCAAGAATTAAGCATCATCATTAAATTTGGAGGTAAAATCGGTCCTTCCAATCTGTACAGACCTTCTACATCTGCAAGATCTCCGATGCTATGATTGTCTCTCCATCGAGTGACCAAAACCTTGTTCACCTTTCTGGATATATGTTATTGGTATGACTTCTGGATTTTCAAAACTAACCCAGCGACAACCAGAATAACTACTCATCTACCTGTTTCAAAAATGGCTGGTAAAAGTTAACCCTGGTTTAGGTGCTAAATTTGTCCCTCAAAATTTTCTCCCACTTGTTGCCAAGGCTATGTCTGTACTTCATGATGGTCAAAAAGACAATCCGATTTATCACACTGCTCGATGCTTTAGAGAACAACGCCATGGAGATGTTGGTCTGATGCCATTGGATAGAATGCCCTTTGTAGGAGTGAAGGCCCACTTGGCCTTTTTTTAACAGTATTTTGTAATGATGTTACACAACTAATTCAGATAAAGTTTGAGAAATGGTGGTTCTTTCAATGTTAAGCCTCAGAGAGGGAGTGGGGTCGGGCATATGTGTGGGGCATTTGATTTTTTGATCAAATTTTCAATTAAATGCCCCACTGTTAAGTAATAAATGTTGGTCAAACACCCCACCATTTTGCAATAAATACTATATTAATAAAAGTCAGTTTGGTTCAAATTGCCCTAACTCAGGCCCAAAATGCTAATCAAAATCCCCAGAGTGGGGATGCAATTGATGATCAAATACCCCACATATGCCAACCCCCCTCTGGGGCTTGACATTGATAGGTGCAATTATATGCAGGGTTTTTGTATTCTCATGTAATGTACCACAAAGTATCAGCAGCATGTTATTGTGGGACCTTTAATCAATATGTATATAAATGGACATATTTTTGTTTATTGTTGCATTAATTTTAATGAAAAATAAAAATTACTCACAAAGTTGGTCAAGTGAATGTACAAACTGATTATTTCTTCATTTAGTACAGCACAGTTACAATTATGTACTTGTCTTAATTGCATGAGTGTGCATGACAGACTTTTTTATTTTAATTGTGCACACCCACTTATGATTAACCTAGTTTTTGTTTAGGAAAATCTAAAAAGTTACCTAAATGAAATAAGATCATTTCTATAACTTGCTAAACCTAGTCAGTTACAATTATATCACAAACATCTGTCAACATACACTCTTCCTTACCACTTGAGTCTCCCACTCACCACATCGCTTTATGAAATTTTTTTGATAAAATCCTATTTTAAAAAAGTCAACCCTATACTTGATATGCTGAACATAGACCTCTAAGATATCTCCTGTGGCAATTAGTCGGTGCAAATGCTCGCATAGTTGAGAAGCAAGATAACCAATGTGTGTCCATCCAGTTCCATAGTCTACATCAATTGCAATTGGGTCCATTGCATTCAATGGCTCTGCCCGTATTCTTACATTCACTGGTTTATCTTGTCCATGAAGGACAAGGTATGCTGTTGATGTTGGTAATTTTTCTCATGAGCAGCACCGATGCACTTGAATGGTACAGCATGGGTGATTTCGTCCTCGCCACTTTCATCCTCATCACTTAACTGGTCACCAGTTTCTGCCCTATCACCTTCATTACCATATCCATGCTGACCAGGTTCAAGACCAGCCAACCGCTCAAGTAGATCCCTTTCTACAAAATCATAACAAGAAAATTTTTATTTTATTATTTTGTACATAAACTGTAATTTCTAAAATTAGAAATCTAATGCAAAAGTGTGTCACTATTTACAGTAATATTTATAAAACAACACACAAATATGGCAATATTTTACAGATGAAAATTGAAAAATATCTCTATTGTATGCACATATATGTAAAGATCTATCCACAATTAGATACAAACAGGCATCATACTTCAGCAAAAATTTATTAAACAATTGGTTTAACTCAAAGCATGTACATATGTATCACAGTGACACAGTACACAGACACACACAATAGAGTCAAACTAGAGCCATTTATAAACACAAATATTACGCCATATTAATTTTGTACAGTGTATTTATAAAATTACAGTACAAGGTTAAAAACAACAAAACGGATAATAATTTGACTAAATAACAAGGTAACTGTAATGCATTGTAGTATACCAACCTTAAATATTGCGCTTGTTTTCACGTTGATGATACACGGAGATTTAACATCATCCAAGTTAGAAAGAAGAGCCTCGCTATTGGGAATATAAACACAATTCCTTCGCTCAGACGCATTATTTATCAAGCTAAAATGACAACATGTCCCATGCAAATATTTAAAAAAGGTAAACTTGGTATAGTAAAACACAAGTCATAATGATGATCGCAACAATACAGCAATAACATGCTGTTTCTTTTCACAAAATATCGCAGCCTGACACTCTTGTCGCTCGAAAGCTTCCATATTGGTTTAGTCAGAGAGATGTTCACTCCTCGACAGTCAACAGTCAATGAAGTCACGCGTGGAATTAGGCGCTCAATACCCATGATGCTTTGAGGCCTGCTGTCCAACCTACACTGCGCCGCCGTGTAATATTTTCTATTTATTACATCAGATTCTTCATAATAAGATGTATTTTAAATTTGAAGACGTTTTAAGATGTGATGATGGGTTTCTACAGGGTGCAATAAAAAAAAACCGAACAGATTTGAAATTGCTCTCAATTTCGCAAAAGCGCTCGTGATATCAGGTTTTTGTTACTTATTGACTAAGCAGAGCGCATGTGCAGCTTTCTAAATTTATCGCTGATAAATTTCATGTGCATGCATGGGCGGTAGGGTAATGCTTTCGCGCTCTCAGTTTATAATATATACAAATTGTTTGTCATTCATCTAAAAATTGCTGCTTGTGGTGACCGCAAATCTCCTGTGTTATAAGTAGAACTAAAATAACGATTTATAACATTTTTCGTTTCAGACTCGGCGAGCAGCATATGCTAACCGTTCAAAAGAGGGTCCCGTGACTATGGATTTGGCTACCATGCCATACAAGTCGACCAATTATGATAATTATGGACAAACAGATGAAGAGGCCAGTACCTCTCAAAAACTTTGATATTATTACTTCGTTATAGATGGTAGAAAGACTCTATTTATCATAAAATTCTGTGATTTATCATTATATCAGAAAGCTTCGTATTAATAAAGCTAGCTTATTTCCATGCACACAAAGAAAATGTTTTGCAGAAAGAAAATTGTGTGAAATGTGATTGGCCGACAAAAATTTTCCGTCAGAAAAAAGTTTAATTTTGAAAATTTTCAACTGTCAACAATATTTTGTGAAAATTTTCTGTCCGTTGAAATTAATTTTTTTTAGTAGAAACGAGTTACAAAGTTATAAAGATTCCGTTACCTGAAAAATACAAGGAGAACTTTGCCGTTTCGAGCTAAGGTCTTCATTAAAAATGCATGCCCTGCCTCGGTACGGTTAGATATTACGGGTAAAATGTATGCCCTGCTTCGGTACGGTTAGATATTACGGGTAAAATGTATGCCCTGCTTCGGTACGGTTAGATAATACGGGTAAAATGTATGCCCTGCTTCGGTACGGTTAGATATTACGGGTAAAATGTATGCCCTGCTTCGGTTCAGGTAGTTGTATCCCTATATCAATCCAACGCTTTGTGATTTATTGGCACTACACAGCGGGTGGAAGGAAAGGGCGAAACGTAGGCCTGATGAAAATGTTGTCAAAAGTGCATTCCGCCCACTTTGCATTTTGTAATAATTAACGGTGATGATTGACACATATACTGTAAACCTAAAAATGCAATGAAAGTTGTCGATTTCATTTTATTGAAAATTTGTAAACAAAGTCGATAAGTACAGATGTTTGAATAAATCATAGTTAATAGAGGAGATGATTTGGAAGCTGGGGGCGTGGCCGAATTATGGTATTGTTCTCTGTCACGTGACAATACGGGTGCATCAAAATCTATTTAGTAATAGGAAATTGCAGTACAGAGGGGGCTGTAGTACTTGAAAAACGTCTTTTACAGAAAGAATATCCAAACACCAGGAGCAAATTGCTCCGTATATGGTTGCGGGACTACCAACAAAAGACGACGATTTATCGACGAAAATTCGCGAAGCGTTGGCGAGGCTTGTCACAAAGGACGCTGGATCGAGAGATAGATGCAAGTTTAAGAAATCAAACAAAACTTACAGTCATTCACATTATAATTACTATCTTAACAATACTTGTATAAATTAAGTCAACTTACACCATATATAGTCAGGTATTTTATGTTCTGCTTTAGTTACCACCTCCAAAAGGTTGGTAGCTGGTGCTATTCCTACCTTTAATTTACCCCCAGAAAAGCATACCTCTCTACATCGACAATTGGAGCCAGGTAACGTTGCTGGTCGTCACACTGGTCAGAGGAGTGAATGGTATGGTGGATTAGAAAAGGCCTTGCCATAAAACAGAAGAAGTAATCTAGTGAGAACGTTAATGATTTTAAACAGGTCAGGCTTTGATAGGATGTTTTGTAATCTTAAGAACTCTGTAAAACACCTTCCAAAATCCAGGGAACGGCATTTCCGATTGTTTAGACTTCGGGTTAGGGGCATGCACCCAGACCACTCTAGGAGTTTGTGCCTTCAATGTTCAATCATTTTTCGTCCACCTACTTGTAAACTTAATGACATCCAGTGCTTCAAAACAGTAATATGCAATAATTTGTATATATGTTATAAAATAATTATAGGCCTACTCTAGGGCCCAAGATCACCTAAAATTGCCTAAGATCGTCCAAGATCGCCTAAGATCGCCTAAAATCGCTGAAGATCGCCTAATATCGCCTAAGATCGACAAATATTACATACAAAGAAATAAGAATCTTGGCACTTTACAGGGAGTCTGAACTGAGAGAGGGCATAGTGGGTGAGTGGCATCAACTTTTTTTCAAAGTAGTTTACCCTGCAAGGTTCCTTTGCATATAAGACGGTGAAAAATATGCCTTTTAAAGTGATAAAAGTTGCCCAAATCCACTTTAGTAAAGTAGTTATTTTATTGTTTGTGTATAATGATCATTTAAAACTTTCTTTATAGGATACATTGTTTTAGATAATTTTGATTACATACCCCATAATATACACTAGTTTTGCTAGAATTGCATTGGTTACACTTTGACATACAATGGGCTATTCCATTTAATATCCGTACCCCCCTGTCGAGGATACATGTTTTTCATAGTTATACCCTTAAAGAATTCCAAGCTCAAAACACTGTACCCCTGAAGAATTCCAAACTCAAAATCCTTTACTCCTTAAGAATTCCAAACTCAAAACACTGTACCCCTGAAGAATTCCAAACTCAAAATCCTTTACCCCTGAAGAATTCCAAGCTCAAAACACTGTACCCCTGAAGAATTCCAAACTCAAAATCCTTTACCCCTTAAGAATTCCAAACTCAAAACACTCTACCCCTGAAGAATTCCAAACTCAAAATCCTTTACCCCTAGCTTAAGGATTCCAAACTCAAAACACTGTACCCCTGAAGAATTCCAAACTCAAAATCCTTAACCCCTTAAGAATTCCAAGCTCAAAACACTCTACCCCTGAAGAATTCCAAGCTCAAAATCCTTTACCCCTGAAGAATTCCAAGCTCAAAATCCTTTACCCCTGAAGAATTCCAAGTTCAAAACACTTTACCCCTGAAGAATTCCAAACTCAAAATCCTTTACCCCTTAAGAATTCCAAACTCAAAACACTCCACCCCTGAAGAATTCCAAACTCAAAATCCTTTACCCCTAGCTTAAGGATTCCAAACTCAAAACACTGTACCCCTGAAGAATTCCAAGCTCAAAACACTCTACCCCTGAAGAATTCCAGGTATCCTCGACAGTAGTATAGGAAGTAGCGGTTCTAGACCACTTTTTCAGCCCGCGATCCCACCCCACTTCCGGTCAGCGGTTTCCCGAATTTTCCCCAAAAAACGCGGGCTCATTTTTCTAGACCATTTTTTTCTAGGCCATTTTTTCCGTGGTCTTTTTACCTCATTTTTTTATCTATTATTTTAATCTTTATTATCATATTTAATTATACTCAAGGGGCCGAAGCTCTTAGGGTCAAACACATTACTTGAATCATCTTTATTATTCTGTGTGTTGACGTCAACGTTAATATTATTTGATACAGAGAAATTTATATCACCAGCCTTTCCATTCTTACCAGAACTCTTACGACAACCACAAATCTTACCTAAGCATGAGAAGCATGACCTCCACCTTGACATCTTATCTTATGATAAACCACATGTTAAATACCTGACCCCGAATATCGGAGTGACCAGCAAAAGGACATATCCATACTCGATCCAGTGGGCATTGAGTGTTCAGGTTTAACTATAATACACCAGGCTAGCGTGTTATCTACCAACTCAACCTGGGCTCCTAAATAGAACATACTATTACCCTTGAAAACGTAGCAAGCTGTACTTCCACCTGTAGTTGTGTAAGTTCCGTTAAACCAGGTGTGTGACAGTCTTCTTAAGTCTATTGTTCTTAGAGCGATTTCCTTCTTAACCTGGGTAAATTTTCCATTAGATTGTTTTTCCCAAACAGTAGCCCATAGAATTAGAGCTAGTGGTATATTTAGAACGGTCGAAAACAGTGGGTAGTCTGTTTTTATAGTTATTGATTCAAGGTTCAGGTCTGCCATATTATTAATAGGATCTGTTCTCCATGAAGGTGGAATCTGATCGTGACAGTAAGCGTAGTACCTTGTTGCAGCAACTGCTACACCACGATAACCCCAAATCCATTCTGCATGTATATGTCGAAGTTTTCTTACATATCTTAAGTCAGCCGTTGCTTGAGTAAGACCAGTTGAAGGTTTTAGGAAATTCCTTTCTACCCATTGTTTGTTAACTGCATCCTTATCATTTACCGGATCCTTTAGATCAAGAATACCACTTGAGTCTCCCATGTCCAAATCACCTTTTACCAGTCCACCTCTACTACTCATGAACTCATTAGTTGCCCAGTCCCTATTGACGGCAGACTTTCCAGTTGTGGGGTCACCTACCCTAGTTAACTCATAATCGTTAACATCAAGGTTACCAGATAAAACACCTCCTCCACGTTTAAGAAACTGATTACACCAATTAGTCATAGAACCGTAAGAAACAGCACTGGAAGCCCCACTTGACCCACTACTTAGTCCTGTAATAGTATTACCACCCATGTCAATATTACCGCTCATAGTAAACCCACCGCTACCTAAAGTACTCCCACTGACGTGATCCGTTACCCATTTCTTCGACACGGCAGAATTATCAGTTGTAGGAGCACCTAACTTTATAATTTCATTGTTTCCCATATCAAGGTCATCGGATAGTGTAAGTCCGCTGTAGGTCTCACGCTTTCTTCTACCACCGCTAATCTTATCTTCTACCCACTTTTTACTAACAGCAGACCCATCCGCACTTGGAGCCCCAATATTTTCGATTTCATTTCCGCCCATCTTGAGGACACCAGTCATTTCATTTGAACCATCCAACTTTAATGCAAAACGTGAAATTTGATTTACCACAGTCTGAATATTTGGAACAACTACTTTTCCACCAAGATTGTTGGTTGTATATATTGAACTACCATTTGCAATAGTTATATCACCATTTAGAGTGAATCCTGATGTAACCCATCTTTTGCTAACTGCAGATGTGTCTGAAGTGGGGTTGCCAAGATTCCTAATTTCATGTCCACCCATTAGAAGATTACCTGACATTGTAAATCCGGAAGTGCTAGGAATTGCTGACAACTTATCCTCCATCCACTTTTTTGGAACAGCTTCATTATCAATTTTTGGATCCCGAAGCCCAAATAGTCTATAACCTGCCATTGATATATCAGCAAGCATACGACCACCTTTATATAGAAAGTTATTATCAACTGCCCACTTTTTTGTAACAGCTGACTGATTAGTAGTTGGATCCCTCAGATTTTTAATCTCATGGTCCTTCATATCAATATCACCCACAATATTAAGTCCGGATACAGGTTTATTTAGCATTCCAACTACCCAGTCCATATTAGTGGCAGACTTCCCAGTTGTTGGATCACCAACATTCTTAATCTCATTTCCACCTAACTTAAGGTCACCAGTCATTGCATGCGTGCCATCAATCCAGACGTATTGACTGGCTGTATATATGTCCAGGTTTCTTGTTTGTAATAGGGTCCAATCTTTGTTGACGGCAGACTTCCCAGTTGTTGGATCTCCTAAATTATTTATCTCATTTCCCGACATATTGAGATCGCTTGTAAGAGTAAGTCCGCTACCTTCAACCCAGCTCTTACAAGCAGCATCACCCGGATTAGTAGGATTATCAAGATTAGTTATCTTATTACCTCCCATGTCAATATCTCCAGTCATTGTAAACCCTGCTGGTTGAATTGTAAGGGCAGCTCGTTTAATGATCTCATCATCCACCCACTTTCTTGTGGTCGCAGAAGTATCGTCTGTAGGTGCACCCAAACCTTTCACCTCATTACCATCCATCTCAATGTCACCCTTCATGGTAAATCCGTCCTTATCAAACACACTACCACTTGATGGGTCAACTTTATTTACTCCTTTATTGTATCCTCTATAGAGAGCCATTTTATAGAATACATAATGTTTACAGGGCAACTTTCATTAGAATGAATACAACTATAGCACCAATTCCGGCTCCAGCAATAGCACTGACTCCTAAAGACTCATTAGTAATAACAGCAGTTTTATAATCTAAGTTTTCCACTCTTAGTTTAGCCTTATGGTGCCCGGGTGAGCCGGCTGTAGTAGATTTCTTAGTCTGTTTTGAATATCCACTGAGAGTATCAAGGTGAGCAGTAGGTGTTGTATCCTGATGCTGCTTCTTTGGAGGATTAGGCTTCTTGACTCCTATGTAATTTACCTTAGTGTTAACTCCACGCTTCATATTATATGAAGCATTTACAAGAATATTATTATATCCAGGAACGGGATTCTTTAGAATGATTAGACTGGATGGAACCAGAACTATTCCAGGTGTAATGGCTGTATTAAGTATAACATTTGTGTCCCTGATAGCCGTTCTCATATTAGATAGAGTTACAACAGGATCCGCTTGTACAACACAATCGTGAACAATATTACCGAACTTCACCTGGGTAGAAAATGACTTTCCCATCTCACCTACAATTGGAGTTCTTGTCGATGCTTGTGCACCTAGTACGGAATACGAGAACGCCTGCACTGACTCATTTAGTAATAGTAGCCCAGTTTCGGTAATATTCTTCGGAACATCCAGGTTGTTAACAGCAATAAACCTTCTATAGTCAGACTTACCTACCAGACTTACTGAAACCCTTTCTTCATAACTAATTTTTATCTTAATTAGAAATCCATTGACTGAGTTTATAGGGGACGCAACAACGTTCCTAACTGGATTGCTATCACTACCTCTCTTCCTAAGCCAGCTTGCTTTTTCATACTCAAGTCCGTTATCATAGGTGACTCTATAAGTATCAGTTTTATTTTCCCACTTACCAACAACTGGAATGTGACTCTTTACGGGACCCAACCTACTTAAATATGGTTTCAGCCTCTCAGGGTTGTACACAAATTTCCTGATAGTATAGTAAACATGAAAGTCCATAACACTAGTAATAACAGGATAAACATCATTACTAGGAGTCATATGACTAGTTGTGATTCCACTAAGATGTGTAGCAATATATGCCCCGCATAGTGCAGCAAAATACGGCTTGTTATAATCAAACTTTACATCAACACCCTTAGTGGTAATAAGACTTGATATACTTGGAAGTAGAAATCCACCTGCACCACCTGTTGTAGTAAAGAAGCTTGTAGCGTCAACATACAACTTAAAATTGTTAACATCCTTAGACCATCTTATTTTAGGAAAGTAACTGTGACCATCAACCGTGTCATCAGAATTTACCCCGTATCCAGTTCCCTTTCCGGAGGCCCACATTGCAGGCCACCCGTCAACTTCACCTGGTACTTCTAACGGAGGCTGTTTCATATCAGTCATAGGTATAAACTGAACAGGCACCTCAGCCTTTTCCTTAGTACCAGTAAGATAAGATGTGAACTCCTTATTATTCAGAAAGCCGCCATACCTAATGTCATATGAAGTTATGCCATCTAAGTCCACAAACCATGTTACAACTCCAATATCACCACTACCTGTAGTCATAGCTTCAAACCTAAACCTATTCATATCAGCGTGAGGGTACTTTTTACAAACCTAGCCCTCTCAGCATTCTCAGCTTTTTTACCAGCAATAGGATCAACATCATTTTCATCTTCTTTTCCATACTTTTTTTCATAATCTTGGTAAGACCTATAAGGCGACTTCCCAACGTCTCCTCCACCTAGTCTCATTCTTAATAACCTAACGTATGTTATTAAGATGAAGTTTACAGTTTTACTTCAAGGTTCGCATACAAACGTTTCACTACAGAATTCAGTTTTAACTAGCAATTATAATTCAGTCTTCATAAAGAGAGTTTCAGTGTTCTGGGAATACTTCAATATAACAGGACCAACAACTATTCTCAAGGTAAAGACAGATGATGGGGAAACTGATGTGAT